GAGAGAGAGAGAGAGAGAGAGAGAGAGAGAGAGAGAGACTAAGGGGGGGGGGGGAAGGCATCTATCATGAACGAGGTTCTTTCATAAGAAAGTTAACAATATACCATGCGTGTGATACCAACTCTCTATGTGAAGTCAACGGTCACTTCATGATTGTATGGGAATCTAGAGATTGTGGGTGTGATGGGTTGGACGATTATTTACCTTTATAACTATCTGGAATAATCAATGTCTGCCCAACTTCGTAGTAAGCACCGCCTTTATCACGATAAATAGTCCTGGCCTTCGCTTGTCGACTCTTTGCTCTCTCATGAAGCAGAACTGGCTGACGTGCATAAAGACGTAGACCCGGGCTCAGACCTTGACCTTCTGAATCTGGCCCGCTATGGTCAGGGAAGAAGCTTGCCACGCACGGAAGAACATCCTTGTCTGCCAGTTCACGCACGCTTAGTCTCTCATTTTCCCATGGCAACTCGGGTCCAATAATTTCCTCTTCCGGGTTTGAGTTTGAGACAGAAGAGGAAGTGACGTCAGGTAGTTCTGATGCCATTTTGGAGTCACTTGGCAGTAATGGTATCACTGGTTGCTTTGGTAATGCTGCAGTTTGTAATCCAAGAATTTCACACGAAGATTTTGATAAAATTCGACTGTTGGTTAAAGAATCACCCGAACAATCTTGCACCACTATAATTGGCACGGGTGATGACAGGGAGTGTTTTAATGACGATGAAGTCGACTGATGGGCCGACGGAAAGTCAGATCTGGGTAAAGGCGGTAGTTTTCCTTCAGACTCGCCCTTGCTAATGTCTGCGACAGACGTACACGTGTAATCGATTACATCAAATGACGGACTTCCTGTACAAGTGGCAGACGACACATGACCCTCTCCTTGTCTGTCTACCCAACATCCGCTATCTGTATCTGCCGCTATTGAATCTTCCGAGAAGGAAACTTGCTTTCTATCCAACTGCTGCTGAGAGTTTTCGTAAATCCTGTCTACCCTTTTTTCCTCGTCTCGGTTACGCCCATACTTCGTCCATTTCAGCATCTCCCAAAATCACTGAAGTATTCCTGAGAAATGAGAGATAATACTATTAAGCAATATGAATAAACGAAACAAAAAAAAAACAACAACAACAAACAAAACAAACCTAAAACAACAACAAACGAAAATTAAAGATTTCTCCTGCCCTTCCAAACGAATCCTCTAACTATCCCCCCCCCCTTTTCCCCCTTTCACAGAAACGAAATATTACTAATGGATTCGCTTCCTCGTTCTAGAAATCTTCAGATTTTGCTGGCTAGTACATTTTGTAATCGTTTCTTTACTTGTTTTTATTTCACTATTTTGATTTAACAATAATGCACATTAGCAATGTTTTATACGTCAAC